ACTAGACTTTGTTTTTAAATACATTAGTCTATTATCAAGCCTCTGGCATAGGCCTTCATTGTGTCCCAAAGATTCTGCGTTGATGTGTCTTCTTTTCTATTTTCTTTGAAAAAGAAAGCCAATTCTTTCTACATTTTACATACAAAGTCCTTCTCTTTTAATATAGTATTGTTTAATGTCCATCTAGATCTTCTCCTTTGTCATTTCCATTTGATTGTCATTGATTATGGTCTGCCCAGGTACTTGTTTCTATGTCAATTTCCTGTATGTTACAAATCAATTCCCATATCGTGTAACCCATATCGTATCTATTCTGGACCATGATGAATGTGTATTTGAATAGAAGGTATATTGTTTATTTGTGGGATTTCTTTCTCCCCATACATCTTTTAAGTCTATTTCATCAATCATTTTAAAGAAGGATTTTGGAAGAGTCTTTCTATTTAATTTAGTTATTTTTTGCGTTTTATAGTCCATGTTCTGGTCTACAATTCCATTAAAATCTCCCATCATATAAATATTGACATGGTCCAATTCAATTATTTTCATGTGTAGTTTTCTATAGAATTCATTTTAATTGTCATTGGGAGCATAAATTGCTATTGAAAGTATTTTCTTATTATTGTCCATAATTTCCACCATCAAGATTCTTCCATCATCATCTGTATAAATTTGTTCTGCTGGAATTGTATTTTTAATGTAAAAGACCACTCCTCTTTTCTTACATCTTGCCAATGCAGTAAATATTTTCCCTAACTTTGGCTGAACCAATATTTGTTCATGTTGCTTTTGGATATGTACTTCTTGTAAGCAGATTATGTCCAATTTTAGTTTCTCTAATTTATGAAATGTTTTCCTTCTTTTCATAGCTGAATTAAGTCCATTTATATTGATTGCAATCAATTTTTTTCTCTTCCATGTTTGTTTCTTATAAGTAGGATTTATTGCTCTAGTAGATCTCGGTTCACGTTGTTCTCTGATGTCAATGCCGCCAACTGCTCCTTTCTCAGTCTCAACTGTGCACTCCTCTTGGAATTCAATTAGTGATTCTTCTTTTCCTGTCACCTCATCATTCCTTTTCAAATGTTCTGCATAAAATAGTTCTGCTTTCTCAGTTGAATCTATTCTGTAACTTTGTCCTTGCCATGCAAACATAAGACCTTCTGGTATCAGCCATCTGTAATTAACACCTTTTTTAAGTAGGATTTTAGTCAAGAATTGGTATTCTCATCTCTCTCACTCTTCTTGGTATTTGTTTCAAAACTACAATTTCCTTGCCTTTATATTCCAGTTTCTTGTCTCTTGCCTTTTGTAGTATTTGTGTCTTAATTGCTTTCTTAGTAAATCTTATATGAACTTCTCTAGGGAGACCGTTTCTCGCTGCATATCTTGTATAGACTCGAAACACCTTATCTATACCGTCCATCATCTTCTCTTTGGTTATCTCCAGGGCATCTGCCAGAATTTCTATCATTATTTCTGCGAAATTTTCTCCCTTTTCCTCTTCAATGTTTTGGAATCTGAGATAAAATTCTGATCGATCATTCTCCCATTCCAGTATTCCACTGTTGCCTTTTTCCACCACATTCAATCAGCTGTCAATATCTCCAATTTTCTTATTTCTTTGTTCATCTTTTTCTTCAATTTTTTGAAGTCTTTCCTCATATTTTATCATTTGGTGAATACTCTCAATTTTTTCATCTGTTTTCTCTGTTTTTTGTTCAATGCTCTCTGCTCTTTGTTCTATCGTTTCTATTCTTTTCTCAATATTTTCTGTTTTCATTTGTATTTTTTGTATTCCTTGCNACCACCCAGTACTCCAAGACTAATTCAGTGAAATTAAATTTTTTTTTCAATTTGTGTTTTAACTTTGGGTGGGATTTAAAAGTGGGAATTGGAATAAATGCATTTTTATTCTTATTTGCATCCTTCCCAAGATTCCAAAAAGACATTTCTAAATTTCTACTTTTTCAGGCAGTTTGGAAGGTCTGGGAGGTGCTAAAGTTTCCCATCCCTATTTCTGTCCTTAAAACCCCAAAGCAAGAAAACTAGCTGAAAGGGGGATCACAAGGGGCAATTTTGTTCAGGGAGCCCTGAAGATAGGAATGGAAGTGGGGAGAGATTTTCACTCTCATCCATTATTTTGGAATATACATATTTTTTTCTGCGGGCATCTGTGGTGCTATTACATCTTCTGCTAAGTAGCACTTGGCCAGCAGAGGGTGCAGTGATTCAAAGCTCCTTTTTCCCATTGCCAATGCTTCGCTATATTTTTATCTTGTAGGAAGGCATCCTCAGGTATAATATCACCTATGCCAAGAAATGGGACTTCACAGCCCTTACTGAATTCTGCGATAAGGTAATAAAAAAAATGGAAACATGCAAAAAAATCTCATAATAATAATAATACAAATACTGCTTCCTATCGTTGAATGTGATTTGAATGGGTATGTTTTCATTAATTTTATTTTATATATACTTGTAGTTAACTAAACGTGCCTAGTGGGGAATTCATAGAGGTCAAAGAAAAATTGGAAGAAATCTTATCTCTGTGTGAGTGTGTATTTTAGGTACTCTGTGAACATATAGGTAGTCCTTGACTTACGGCTACAATTGAGCCCAACATTTCTGTTGTTAAGCAAGATAGTTGTTAAGTGAGTTTTTCCCCATTTTATGACCTTTCTTTCCACAGTTGTTAAGTGAATCACTGCAGTTGTTTAGCATGTAACACAACGGTTAAGTGAATCCGGCTTCCCCATTGACTTTGCTTGTCAAAAGGTCGCAAAAGGGGACCCCATGACCCCGGGGCTTTGCGACCGTCATTAAGTACAAGCCATTCTGAATTTTGATCATGTGACCAGGGGATGCGGTAATGATCGTATAAAAAATAGTCAATGTCCCTTTTTCCCCCCAGTGCTGTTGTAACTTAGAAGAGTCACTAAACGAATGAGTGTAAATGGAGGACCCCCTGTGACCTCTTTTTCTTTCCAATTAACGGGTCTTTTTTTTTTTTAAATGCTCCCTCTGGGAATAGCAATAATTAATCCTTAAGTGCCATTGTCCCCTTAGTGCTTTCTGATGAACAGGCAGAGAGCCTGACCCTGATTATTCCAGTCGTAAATAAGAGACGGAAGAAGGTGAGAAGGAGCCCAGGCGCTCTTTCATTTGACTCTGCAGCCCAGCTCTGTCTCAGTCATTGACAAGAGCCCTCGGGATTTATGGCTGGGGTGCTTGGCCCCTCAGGAAGGAACCAGCCATAGCCTCACACAGTACAGGCAGCTATAAGAAGATGATGAAGAGCATATGCGGTTCTCTAGTTTGGCTGCATTGCCTCACCGATGCTTTTCTGCAAAGGGTATTGCTTAGGTTATTCTCAGAACGCAAATACCATCAGCAGAGAATTGATTCCAGCAGCATATTTAGGGAGAACATCCAACTGTGGATGTGTTCTATCACCTGGCTTTCAAAAAAAAGAATCAAAGGATTGGGGATTTGATGCAATGAAATTGACGGGATCAGTGAAGGCATGCCACTAATCAAGGAGACAATCCACCTGGATCTAGGGAGACAGTGAGGATAGTGAACCGGTGGAAGGACTTGCCTCCAGAAGTTGTGATTGCTCCCTGGAGGCTTTTTGAGAAGAGATTGGACAGCCATTTGTCTGGAATGGTATGGGGTTTCCTGTCTGAGTAGGGGGTTGGACGAGCCAGACCCAAATCCTGCAGTGGTTCTTCATAAATTTTAGTCTCCAAGCCTTTGGTCATCTTAGTTGCTCTTCTCTGAACTTTTCGAAAAGTCTCAATATTTTTTTTATAGTATGATGACCAAAATTGGTTGCAGTGTTCCAGATATGATCTTAATAGGGTTTTATAAAGCTGTACTAATACTTCACGTGATCTTGATTCTCTGCCTGTGTTTGTACAACCCAGGATTGTATTAGCTTTTTTGGCTGCTTCTGCACACAGCTGGCTCATATTCAAATGTTCATCCACTAAGACTCTCACAGTTACTGTTTTTGAGAAGTAAAAATGGAAGAGGAGAGAGATAATTTACGCAATTAAACTGGGCCTGTTTTCTTGTGGTTGCTTATTTTTTGCCTATCGCATTAATTAATGTTTCTTGCATGCTGAAGTCTTGATTTTTATACACTGCTTGTTCTATCACAATTCAAAACACAGTTAGTTTGGTAACTCCAGGCAAGTTTTGAATTACAATTCTGGTTTATTTTTGCTGTTAGTTACAGTTCTGGTTATTTTACCTTGCGGTTCACCTCATTAGTGTAAGCCACCCAGAGAGCTTAAAGGGCTGTTGGGCTGTTTAGTTTTTCTTTTAATTATTTCATTAATTAACATATTAGCAAGGGCTAATCTCCATGCAGGAGATTCTTGCTGTTTTGAAAATGAAAAAAAAAGCGCCCCTTTGAGAGGACAACCCTGACCTGTACGATTGAAAATCTCCATAGACAAAAGGAGCCACAATAAATCTCCATCTTTTCCTGCCCTTTCTAGCTGCTGGCCCTTTAGAGGTGTACAAAAATGCCACATTTCTGATTCCCCCACACTTCTCCGAGCCACAAAGCCCATGTGTTGTTTTGAGACTTTATAATTAAGATGCCCTGAATTTTATTTTAAGAGAACATGATCTGTATAAGACACAGCTCTCTTTGTTTTCTCTTAATTTTCAAAAAAACGACAGAAGAGGGAGCTCTTGTCTTTCTCAGATAATTTTGTTCCCCAATGCTGCCTGTGAAAGGTTAAATGTATTTATTTATTCATTAAATGTGTTACTAAATGTATTAATAAATTAACATTACCGTTCACCCATCTTTATCATGGGGTAACTCTAAATTGACAGCATGGTTGAAAGTTCAAATATTGTTTTCAGTATCAAAGTTTTTTTATTAATCAAAATATAAAATACAAAGAAAAATGAAAATGCCGGGAAGGGAAAGGAGGAAAATAGGAAAAAGTGTAAGGGAAAAGGGAGAGAGAGAAAAAAAGAAAAGCATTGACTTCCCTCTCTTTTTAGTGCAATAGAATAAGATAACATAACAACATGTTCTTTCCAGTTCTTTAATCCATATAATTCTTCTATTAATATACATGTTTAGATTAATATATATTTGTTTTGTATATATTTATATATATTTCCCTAATCGCCCCTTAAGTTCCACTGGTATTCACATTTTTATACATATTTAGTAGTACAGTCATTCAAAGTCTATTTTGCCCTTTCTTTATATCCATTTATATTACAATATTATCCTGATATCTGTCACACTGCTAAAATAATAATCCAACTTGTATAACTCTGGTATTAATACACATTGAAATATCTTCATAAAATTATTATTTTACTCTATTTTCTCTTATCCTTCATCTCGTACCCGCATCTGATCCTTTAATCTTATTTTCTTTTTAGTTTTCCTCCCATATTTGTCTCTTGGGTCTTTTTTTTTTTTGTACATTTTTTTTTTAAACAGACATAGACAAACAAGACCATAAGGCCATCTTTCATTACATTCAGTGTGTCAATTGGTTACAAAATTTTTGTGCATCCTTTCCATAGTCATTACTTGCAATTTATATAAAAACACATATTAACAAATCCAAGTGTGTGTGTGTGTGTATAATCAATTATTTGTTTGACTAGCACTATTTATTCCTTCATTTTCAACAATATACTTAATATTGGGATCATTTATGTTGTAATAATTCATTACATCATCTTCAATCTATCCAATAATAATAATAATAATAATAATTATTATTATTATTATTCCGTATACAAATGGACAAAATACTGGCGCATAATACACCAGACATCACACTGGTTGAGAAAAATAAGGTCACAATCATAGACATTGCAATACCAGGTGATAGCAGGGTCGCCGAGAAGGAACATGAAAAAATCGCAAGATACCAGGACTTAAAAATCGAAATTCAACGACTATGGCACAAACCAGCAGTGGTAATTCCAGTGGTAATTGGCACCCTGGGTGCTATTCCAAAAGCACTGGAATTACATTTAAAACAGTTAAAAATTGACAGGATTTTTCGTGTTAACTCATGGGCGGCAAAACAAAGGCAACTTCCCCGAGACGTGGTAATATACTTTGTTACAAG